AAGACGTGCCCGCTCCTCCTCTTTCGATTGGTGAAAACCGCAGGTAGCTAGGTATTGCGGTTGTCGAGTTATTGAGCTTACACTCACCCCTCTTTTATTCTGGCGCGGACATTAGTTACTACAATAAAAACATTATGCGTATTGGACGTTGCTTCAACGAGAAACCAAAGGGTCAGTAGCAAAATTGGGTTCTTCGATGAAAAATTAAAAATAGTCGTAGACCGTCCGCAATCCATTAAGGGGATGAAGTAAGTTGGAATATTTCACTACTCACTAAGATCTCCAAGATGAAAGTAGTCTGAGTTCAAAAGTTTTGTATCGCTTTCAGAGGTTCTCTTGTGAGCAAAATCCAATAGTAGAGTATGTCAAAGTTCATTTAGGAGCACGGGTGTGGATGAGGAGTTTTTCCCCATTTATAGGAACATTCACACTTTCTTTCTACTGTTTGATAATTTGAGGTCTACCTGTTTCAGAGTAGCTGTTGTTAAAATGAGATCAATGAATAAGTGAAAATAGCATTTTGTAGAACACCGGATGCTTGCCGAGTTAGTATATCTCTCTGGACCAGAATCAGTACAGTTTTAATGTTTTCGTTTCAAGATTTTTTTTATTCATCATACACTACAAGGTAACGAACTTCAATGCTTTTTTTGTTCGGCATCCGTTGGCGGCGTATGCTCGTTGATGAAAGCCGTGTGAGCGCCAAACTGAACACATTAGAGTTACTATCGAAGGTTTTGAAAATGGACATTTCATCCGATCGCATCCGACTTAGATAATACCATCGTTGAGTATTCTGCGCGTTGTGCGAAATTGTGTAGAATAAAATACTACTCTGAGATCCCCGTACTTCTGACCAATGAAGGTCGTTGTCGAGATCCAATGAGAAATAGTCGCAAATGGTCAACGGGTTGTTCAGTATTGGAGTGGGACCCAATGGTCGCCAAGCATTGATTAATCGAAATAACGTCGCATTACGTTCTTAGCTTCTTCGCCGAGTAGTTGTCCTACTCTAAAGCGAGCTGAAGGTGGATCGTTATCAACGTGTGGATAGAAAATAGGATTCTTATGGGTGTGATTGCATTTATCGGCGGCATGCCACGGCCGACGACAGCGGAATATATGATTGAAGATGATCACACGGGAGGCTCTCAAGTGTTTGTTGAGTAGAGCAGCAATATGTTGATAGTAATGTTGCTGCATTTCGCTATTGTCGTCAAATTCAATGCTCATGTTGCCATCATAATGCAGAAGTTCAAAACCGTTAGTCTCAAGATCGACGTTATTCTCCTTACCAAGCAAATAGTGAATAATGACGCGAGTCGGCGTCTGCACGAAATTTGAGACTGACGAGCCGAATGTAAGAGTTGCATCTACCCACGGCGGAGAGTAGTCGATGGTGCAACTAAAAAAGTTTATTTCTGTGGTAATATCGTTACTCATCAATAACTCTGGACAATTCATACAAAATGAGTGCGAGAGAAACATACCTTTTCTTATCTTGCGATGTTGGAGAAGAACGTAAATCGACAAGAAGAAGAGCGATATCTATAGCGATAAATAGGGCAGATAAATCACCAACATCTCGTTGTAATCGCTGGAGTTTAATTCCAAATATATGAATACATTTTTATCTCCTTTGCAGCTCTTTTCTCTTTTCTTTCTTTGTTTTTGATAAGCAAAAGCGCTCCGTCTTTAGCATGGGCGTGGTTGTGGGTGTTAGCCAAGAAACACCCACATCCACTCCTTCGATCGAATTGAACCAGTGCAAAAATCTCTTTTTATGGGTAGATAAAAAGGTTTTCGGATTCTATGCATTACTGCTAGTAAGACATAAAACTTAAGGTATACATTTTATTAAACTTGCTATCAGTTAATTTTTAAGAATTTAAATAGCGAACCTTTGAGATTTAAGCTTTTTCCTTTATTTGTATAATTGATGTTAAAACAAACTGAAAATGAATTTTACAATTTCGGTTTCATGTAAGCAAATGAGAAGACATCATATAAAGCACAGGGATTTTCTCAATGAACAGCTTTTTTATCTTTGTCAGCACTAAACATCGGAGAGTCTGTCACTGTTGCCAACGTTGACAATAACTTTCTTCTTGAGAAAATGTTACATCTGCAATTTTACCTACCGAGAAGAAGAAATTTATTTTAAAAGAACTTAAAATGAAAATAAACGAATCGAAGACAATCACATGATTAGTGTTCTCTCCATTCTAAAACTATGCATAGAGAGAATAGTATGAAAGTATTTAAGTATTATGTTGAAAACATTAATCGAATTTGATGAAAACAGCGAGTTCTTTTGGTGAAACAACCATTGCTTGAGAATGACCACCGTTGTTGCCAGATGCATCAACAAAAGTAACGAATAGCATAAAACGAATAACAATTAACTTTAATTCTAATCGTGCCAATTCTTGTCCAGCACAAGTGCGATGTCCACCGCCGAATGGTGCGAACACCAACGGATGATGATTGGCATCAGGAGCATCCGTACCAAATAATCTCTCAGGAATAAACTGTTTGGGATCTAATTTCCAATATCTCGGATCACATGGCATCAAGGAAAATGCTGAGGTAACTGCTTCCCCTTTACGAATATGGACTCCATCAATGATAACATCGTCGTTACTGTTCGAAACGAACCAAAAGTAAGTGGCACCAATCTCAATGTTTCTTTGATGACACAATCAATATATTCACATTTATCGAGTAAATTCAAATCATTTAATAATGTATCTTGTGTAATGTTATGTTGTTTTAATTCTTCTTTCATTTTTTGCTAAACTTTAGGATGTTTACTTACATAATACACAAACCAAGATAAAATACTTGATGTTGTATCAAAACCACCTAGAATCATTGCTAATACTTCATCAGATAATTCTTTTTTTGTGATACCTGTTTTTTTCGGTTTCATCTTTGGTTCTTTCTAATTCTTCATCTTTTTGTAATGAGGACACTAATGATGCAACAAGATTGGCAGGCTTATCACTCGGATTCATTTCCATTTGACATTTTTCAATAATTTGTTGCGCTTGATTCTCAAGTATTTTCAATGTAGTTTGATAGTGTCGATCGAATTTCAATAGATAATAGTTGACAATATATGGCATACCATTCATTGTGACACGTTTATATGCATCAATCTATATCAATAATGCTCGACCGAAATCAGATGATTGATATTTTTCGTTTGAATTTAATTCTGTTGCTTCTTTAGCTAAATACTTTAAATTGCCCAAATCATAATCAAATGTTAAAAATGTAAACATATCAAGCATCACATGTTGATTATCACTCAATATACATGTACATATAATGTCATCTTTATTTTCATATCGAATTTTCCAAACATGAATTAATTGATCGACATATTCGATAATATTCGATATTTGTGTTAGAAATTTATTCCTTTTTAACATAGGTAAAATAGCTCTAGCATGCCGTTTGTATTTTGGATCTATAAGTGTGATAAAAAGATTTTCGCCGATTAATCCAAATGTTTTTTTTTTATTAATTTCACCGCGATCAAATATATGACGGTCTGCATAAATTTGTGCTGCATGCTCTGGTCGACAAAACACATACGAATAAAATGAGCCTATCCAAAATTGAAATATATCTCCAAATTTTTTTTGAAGTTTCTCAGCGGCATGATCGTAGCTATTGATTAGTTCTCGATTTGATCCAATAACTTCGAGTTGACGAAGATTACCAAATAAAAATTCAGGTTGTAGATCAGGAACTGGACCACGTAACGTATAGTATTTCCATTTGATATAGCAATAAATTGCACCCATTAATATTGGGATCGAACATAGTAAGATAGCCCAAAACATTTCTGAGTTCTATACGTTATTCCAATACAAATGTTAAAAATTTTGTTAATCTACAGATATGCATGAATAAATAGTTAAAAAATAGAGTCGAACTTATCGAAGCTTATAATCTCTAACAGAAACACTGTAAGCAGCTCTTCATTTATAGATGCAATCGGTATCGACCTCTGGTAGGCTAGTTGGTACCGATATGTTTTATTAATTCGTTTACTCGTGTTATTTCATAGAGAATGTTTAATGAAACTTTGTTGAAAGTTGACGAAGTCGAATATCATTATCCACAGTCAGATCAGTTCTATTTATGACTCCACTTTTACTATACTCAAGTTACTGCGAGATCAGATGAAGATCCATTATCGTCACCATTAATCTGACTCCATAGCCTAGAGGTCATTAAAATCACTATAGTGATTACATATCTGGAGAAGTACCTACTTCAATGACTGGAATTTCTAGTTTCTGCATATCTTCTACAAATTCTGTGTGCATCAATCTTAATGTGTAATTAATGCTCCTTTAGATATGCAGATTCCAATACTCATGCACCACTAAATAACTTCTAACCGAGTAGCTATTAATTAATAAATAGTATGGTTCTCAATAACTTATCGATTCTCCATTTACTTGTAAGTTTTGAGTTTCTTCAAAATGAATTCATAAGATGCGCATGAAGTTATAAGTGAAAACATATTCTCACATTGATCGTCTATTTAGCTATTACATTGGCGAAAATATGTTTGGAGGAAAAAAGTCGAATCCCATCTAGAATAGATTTCAGTAATTTTCGAGAATAATGCATTATTGATGTATTTTTTGACGTGACTCGTCGCTTATCAACTGTCAAAATTTTGAAAAAAAACGAGCAGTACCCTTTTATATTACTGCACTCAATATTACCAGTCATCATATTTTTCACAAATATTAACGTTCAGGATAGTGATGCATGAAGCTAATTTGTCTTTTTCCTGGTAGATAATGCAAGCTGGGCTTGGCCAGCTAACGGTCACCTTCGTTGTCGAAGGTTCGAAATCAAAAGATTAGGATATTTAACGTTTTGTGTTAAAGAGTATGATTAATAGTTTATAGAACAGACGTCGCTAGCTACCGAACAACTTTCTATTCGTTGAGACTGGCCATGTATGTTTGAGCGTTGAAAGTTAAAAAAATAATTCGTTTTACCATTACGAATTAATTATAAATAAAACAACAATGAAATAAATATTTTTGAACTGATTATATACTACTCAATAGTTAAAGGTTTACTCTTTCAAAATACTACGAAAACAATATATTCGAATAGTTTGGAAGAAAGACAATATATTCCAAAACCATTCAGTTTTTTCGTGAAATTCCGTAACGAAATTTTCTTATTTTGTTTTTTTCTCTCTTATGTTGCAGCTGACCTCGAAGACTTTAAATACGTATATGTATATTTTGAAGAGCTGCCGAATTAACTATTATTAATTAAACTTTGCTTTAACTTTTATGAAAATTTTGAAAAAATAAAGCGTTACAGAATTTCATTAAGTGAACATGGTTTTAAGAAATATACGAGATGTTTTGATATTTTTTCTAGTATCTCAAGTAAAAAAATGCTTTGAGTATTTTTTACACTTAATTTACTATTTATTATTTTTCTCATCGTTAATTTATGACCTGTTTTGGTTTTCCAGTTACTCGAATTTTTCAGATTTCAGATAAAATATTTTCTTTTTTCCACTACTAATATCTAGCACTTATTATTTAATGGCTCTCTCTGGTGCGGAAAGAACTCGACGTTGTCGAGAAAAAAAGAAAGCTGCAGGACTTTCTCATATAATGAAACAGAAAGATCGTATACGTAAACAACATGCTTAAAATATATTTTTGAACT